AATGTGGAAAATATGGCTGACCATCGTGCGAACGTTGAGGACATGGATGGTGTAAATACGGCCAAGTTATTTGAAGCGATAGAAGTGGAATTTGAAGACATGGAGGACGATACCGAGTGTTGTGCTGATGTGAGTGACATCAATACAGATCATGTTGAGAAATTTGTGCAATCTTCGAAAATCCGTGCATTGACCAGCCGTACTAAGCACTGTATAATCAGCTGTTATTATACAGAGAGGTGCAATGATGCTCCTATCTACTGTGCAATGTGCATGATTGAGTTGCGGAATATTGTCGATAAAGGAATGTATCTTGTCAGGAATCACAAAGAATGTTCTTTCTATGCACTAGACTTCAGGTGGTCGTGCCATGAATGTGGAGAAAAAATGTACATTGTATACCCATGCAACGTGTGTCCATTCTGCACACATGAAAAAACTATTGAAAAGTCGTCCAACGATACTGAATGTCTTGTTCGTTTAGACGATGGCAATATAGATCGTGTAGTGAAATTTGTGCAGCCTTCGGAAATCGAAGCATTGAACATTTATACAGATCACTGCATAATCAATTGTTATTACAGATCAAGAGGTGGTGACGACGCCGATGTAGCAATATGAACAGATTGCATGGCTTCTCCGCCGAATTACAAGTATTTGAAGAATTCTTTGCGGAATATCGGCGCTGAAGGAATGTATCTCATCAGGAAGCTCCAAGGTGAGATTTCTATGTGGAATATTGGCGCTGAAGGAATGTATCTCGTCAGAAAGCACCGAGACTGGTCTCACTATACACCAGGTATCGACCAGTGCTTGATATGCGAAGATACGATGTACACTGTATTTCCACGCAGCGTGTGCCCACTCTGCACACATTGAAAAACTATTCAGTGCTCCGTGTAAGAGTGCAAGTGCTTCGTGGAAGAGTGTGACGTGATTTAAAGACTGAAAAAAAGACATGGAAAATCACGAGCGAGTGGAACGCGAACTGCTGGAGCAGTGCGACCAGGTCTACTCTGGCGGGGTGTTTCGCGTGGCTGCAGCGATGCGACGAGTGCATCGAGCAGCTGGAAGAACTGTGCCGTACCAAGCG